AATTATACAAAACATCATTAGATTTCATAAATGTTATTAAATATCTATGCTCTGTACCTAATCGAGTATTCCAATAAACTTGAGAAAAATCCAACTCATATATACAACCATTTTCTTTTACTGTTGTAATAGTATCCTTGTCACCAGCAAGGATTTCCATAATAAAATTTCTAAAAGTTGTATCAATGACACTTGTTTTGTTCAGAACTGTTCGAGCAGTTGAAATGGTATCAAGATAAACCTGACCAATAATAGTCTTATATGGTAAATGCATATCACGTAGATTTAAATGCACAATATGACCTACTATGCTAAATGAAGTTGGAACTTCAACTTCAACAGGTAAAATAGCTCTTAATATATCATAAGATTGCCAATTATCATATTTCAACATTACTTTCATTATTCCAAACTGTTCCTGCACTTGTAACAACTGCTTCTTTTCACTTTCCATGAAATCTTCAAAAGTTTTTATCAACATTGGATTTAAATATATAACAGTTTCATTGTTTCTGCTTTCAACTGGTTTGAAGTTCCTTGTTTTAAAAAGGTATTTTTTCAGAATTGGTAGTAGTTTTAGATATTTAACACTATGAAATTTAAAAACTGGTAATTCTACAGTTGTTGTAAATGCTGTACGATCCAAACATGTCATTCCCCTTACTGATTCTAGAGGAACCAGCAAAGAAGTCATTTTACTATAAAAATATTTCTGAATCCAAAAATATTTCTTGACTGCTATACTTAAGGGCTCACTTGTGATCATGGATAAATATATGTGTATACATGTACCCAATATTTTAATAGATTACCCTACAAAGAATTATTAATTACCTTACTTAATTAAATTTATGCATTATTGTTTAATTTTAACAAACAAATTCATTCATTTACAAACAAATGATTCGTACATCTTTATTATAATGTATTATATCAACTTTGCCAAAATTAAAAATACAAATTACAACTTTATTTTTAATCTTAATTTATACTTAAATATGTTTTATGTTTCACTTATGTAGATATTATG